GTGACATAATCCGTTGCACAAGTGACATCATCAATTTGTTTCTTAGCTTCAGCTAAAGTTATCAGCAAGTGGCACTCACACTAGCATTTTCTCTGGAAATGCAAATCCTCTAGTTCAGCATAAAGCTTTCACAGTCTTTTAAATGAACATTCATTGTTGAAGAAACACTGAGTGAGCCGTGATGTTAGGATGGTCTGCAGCAGATGATGTGATAATGGCACCAATGATAAAACAGACACACAACTCTGTGAGAACTGTCACACATGTGAACCTGCAGTGTGACCGTAGCCCAGGAGTCTTCTCATCTGGGACCCAGGGAAGGTCCTCTCATCTCACAGGCTCCTGCAGCCATGAGGAGGAGGATTCTGTGCTTCCTGTCTGTAGATCAGTTAGTCCCATCAATGTGCTGCATGTCCTCCTTCAAATCTTTTGTTTAGACACCAACATGAACGTTATTATATACTGTTTGTGCTCTGACTGCTTCCTGATTTTTCCTTTAGTTTGCATGTTAGGCTTTATGTGCTTGATGACAATGGTCATSTACATCTGTAGGGACCAGTTGTTTAAAGGCAATCTGATCAGATTTTGGTAATCAGATTGGATTAGATGTTGAAAATGGGTTGTTCAAAAAGGAAAGAAAGATTCTGAAATCAGATTGGATCATGGTATCCAGTCTTAATCTGGATCAAACCTTCAGTTTGTGTTGTTCAAACCTTTTCAGTAGGATCTGGATAACTTTGATCCAAAATACCAGTTTTTTCTCAGCTGGTAGCCCACATTGTGATATGTTAAAGCACTGGTAATCTGGATTTGATCATCTTGTAAACAGGGGATCTGGATCGGGGTGATCCAATCTGATGTTGGTTTGAAAAACTGGCATAACAGAAAGACCTTGATCCTGGTTAACAAAGAAAATCTGGATAAATTTGATCCAGATTACAACAACTGGCCCAAGGTGATACAAACTGCAGTTTCCTCTGATTCACTTCAGTGAACCTGCAGATTGTGAGGATTTTTGATGACATTCTGCATCTTTTTGTGCTGCAGAAAGAATCAGGGCTTAGTCTCTTCATGACTGATCCAAGAGTCTCTCTTTTTTTTAAGGATGCTGAGGTGCGTTGGACTGTGTCAGCCTCCCCAGGAAGTCAAAGAGGATTCCTTAATGTCCCACCGGCCTGACTCCTGGGTTTAAACTTGAGGTGATTTTAGACGTTACTGTCCCACATCAGAACTTTATCTGAAAGCCCTGACAGACTCTCATCAATACTTGTGTTAATGTTTAGAAAATACTGTTTTAATTCTCTTTTGAGCTTGTAAACTTATACAAAGTAAAATGCCTCTTCACCTCTGTGTATCTTCATCTGTATTTTTATAAAGATTTTATGCTTTTAGGCTTAAACATGTTTGTGTTTTTAAATTTATCACATAACAATTGGAACTTTGTTCAGTAATTCTAAAAATTCCTATAAGCTACTTTCAGCTTCTCTGTATTAGAAGTAGAAAATGTTTCATGTCAAATTTTACTAAGCATGAGTAAAATAAAAAACAAAAAAAATTACTTCCAGAAAATGTTGAAATTTCTGTTGCACTTCATGTCTMAATGTCGTATCTCTAATTTCCCAACCTTGTTAGACTTGTGTACCCCTGAGACATTTAGTCATACCACTGGTACTCCTTCAGTTACGTAATGATGATTCTCCAAAACTATAAGGTACTATTGATTATTAAATGAAAATTATTTATTTAACCCCCTAGAATGGTTAATTCTCAAGCATTTTATTTTTTTCAATGCAAATTAAACATAAAGATAAAAATGTTGCCTTGAAAGTGACCAGGTAATTAAATAAATAAACCAGGTAATGGCAGGTGAGAGAACAGCAGTGTCCAAACAAACATTTTATTGTCCAAAATACATCAGAAACTCACCAAAATGAACAAATAACACGAGATTCCACATTTTACACTGGATTCCATTTTGTGTTAATTCCATGATTCCGACTGCAATTTCTGCATTGTGGAAATCATAGGGCCCTACAAATCTCAGTCCTATTTTTAGCTATTTTCTTACACACCTGGGAAAATTTTCCACGTACCCCCTGTAAAATGCTGTGAAGGACTGAAGGAACTGTCCAAGGTCCTGAAAGTGTTGGAATGGTTCAGGACTTTAGACAGTGTGAAGGGCTGAAG